GAATCTGATGGTCAAAACCAATACATCTGTATTATTTGACATGATGTATAATGAGTATATAAAATTTTAACATAATCAGTCAAAGCATGTCAGAGATATGGCACTAGAACCGCATTGATTAAAACAAATTGGACGCCAGTCGGCCATTTTGAATCCCATCTGAAAAACAAAATGATATGCATCATGGATCCCATAATGTCCAATAAATATACCAAATTTGAACATCTACCTGCTGTAAAATGCTTGATTTTGATGATTTTTTAGTACAAAAATGGCTGCCATTCAGCCACCTTGAATCAGACCATGGAATAAATTGATGTGCATATGTATAATATTATGTATGACGTATGTGTGAAGTTTGATTGTGTTTGGTCCAGGCGTGTCTAAGATACATGTCCGAACGCATGCACGGACACGTGGACACACAGAGGTCAATCTATAAGTCTCTGTTTTCGTACTCCGGAGACTAATAATCTGATTTTTAACTTGAATTGCATTTTTTATAGTTCAATGCTGAAAGGCATAGAAGAATGTGGCGTTGGAATATCAGAAAAACTGACTATCATCAAATGTTTATATCACATTATTAAAATGCACACAAAGTTTTGATGTCACTACAATGCGAGAACCTTTGTTTGTTCTGTTTTTACGTTCAATTTCATGTAAAATGCAGGATCAGGCAATGAACGGAAAATGTTATATTTGAATCCTGTTGTCCAGGTACTGTGAATAATGTGTACTCAACACAAATAACAAATACATCAGTGTCTACAACATGTTTCAGCAACAACAATCTCATCTGTGACGTGTCATTTTTTATTTAGAGGACGTACTGCAAACATAACAGCATCTTACCTCTGTAGTACTGAGAAGTCTGTGATACAATATTTGCTTTTAAAGTCTGATGAGTCGGTACTGCTGGAACAACTTGCATTGGACTGGATGAAACTGGTGCAGTTGTCGTAGCAACAGTTGTCATCACAGATTGAAGGTTTGCATGTTGTGCAGCGAGGGAGACTGTTCCCATAGTAACTGGTCTGATAGATGTTTGAGATACCTGAGGTTGTGGAACAGGAACAATTTGGGCTAAAAAAATAAACAAATAAAATTCACTGAAGTTTCTATATCTAAAAGTATTTTTATAGAAAAGATGAAAAGCAGTACATTACCCATGATGCATTGCATTAACAAATAAAAGACTGAGAGCAAAGAGGATGCATAATTCATAGACAAACATTAAGGAAGCGCAGCTTTATAATTTACATATGAGAAAGTGTGCAATATTTTTGTGATATTCTTGAAAAATTCATTGATATTCGGAAAGGGTTGTTTATTACGTCATTTATATAAGGATACATTTAATTATCATTCATACATGAATTCTATATCTTCGAAAAAAAAAATCTTTTTCTGCCAAATGTTATTATTGTCAAATGTTCAGCAGAAAGGTAGATACATTTTGTTCCACAAACTTACTGTGGATACTTGTATGGTTATATATAATTACATATAACCTTTTACTACGCATTATAATCAGGTCATGTAATATAGGGCACATATGAATGTCATGACTTTTACCAAACATAAATAAAACTTGGGAATTCAAAACTATTCATCAAGAAAAGCAGATTTGACAATGACAATGACAGCATTGAATCAGCAGTGGTAGTCTGTACAGCAGCAGCAGTCTTGAAAAATCACATCCATAAATGATGATTTCCCACAAATATGGCAGTGACTGACAACATTATTCCATATATGGTATGCCATTGCCCATGATATAATTTTGCAGAACATCATGATAAAAGACATCACTCCTTATATGGTATACCATTGTCCATATATGGTTGTACTACCTAGACATTTCTAATACCTTGAATACGAGCATGAGGAATAGCAGCACCCATGTATGCAGCAGTAGCAGGTAAGTAGGCTGTTTGAAGTTTGTGTGTTTCACTAAGTGTCTTAGCGATATTACCTGGTCCTGGTTCAGTCGCCATGACAACACTAGCTGGAGAACCTGGTGGGCCAGGATGCTGAATATATGCAAATCTGGAAAAAAATATATACATGTTTTTAGAATATCTAATTAAAATATAATTTAATTTCTGACTATACAGTAGTTATGACTGTCTGAATATGAGAATTTGTTTTTTATCTGTAACCAAGACCCAACAAAATCCCGGTTCATCAGACCAGCTCACACTTTATGTTTTTTATTTGCTTGACTGTTGACAACACTGTGTGATTCTCACAAACTGTGAGATCTCTGGTCGAGAGTTGTTGGTGTGCATTTCATTTGTAGCCATTATTGACTGACCATGATGATGTGCTTCAATGTTGCAATATGTTTGTGCTGGCTACATCTTTGAACATTTCACCACAAATTCACAATATAGTTTATAGTCTGCCATATAGTTTGACAAAAACTGTTGGCTTTAAAATTAGGGTTCACTTTCAGAAATATTGAAGAAATTAAGATCTAACAAATTCAGCGAGAAACACTGGTTGTGAAAAGGTTAAAGGGCATTAAAGATGAGTATAAACATTAAAACTGTTAGGGGATAAATAACTTTTGCGGCTTCAAGGTTTTTCATAACAAGAACTACAGAATTAAAGCCGCAAGCGGCGTCACCGGGGCCCAAGCTGACAAGATTCTGTTTCATAATTAATGTGGTCACGTTAGACAATCAGGTAGCTTGAATTATCAGTAACATGAGGTCAAAATGAAGTTGGTACCATGTATTTACCTGGTTTGGTTATCGAAATATGGTTTTCAGGATATATAATGAGCCATGTTCTTAA